GGGAGAGCCCCTCTGAGCCCGGGCAAAGGCAGCTCTGGGGTCCCCAACCCTGCAGAGGACACAGGGCTGTCACAGGGCTGCGCTCTGGCGGGCAGGACCTGGCCGGAGCGCTCGCGCCGCGTTCGGGAACGGCACTGGCGGCTCATGTTACTTGCATCATGAAACGTTTTTCTCCGGTTTGGCTAAAACCAAACAGAAAAAGTGAATGCTGCTGGGGGTGGGGGAGGAAAATCCGCTCGCTTTCCAGCCTGAGCGCCGGGCACAGCCAGTTCCCACATCTGCTGTGCTGGCCGGGGCTGCGGTGCAGCGTGTGCTGGGGAGCACAGCTGCCTCCTAACATGGCAATGTTGTGGCCCTGGTTCCCTTGGCGAGGGCTGCCCGCGCTCCAGCGGGGCAGGAGGGCTTGGGAGCATTTTGGGGAGCGGGTGCAGAGCTCCCCGTGCCCCTCGGGGGCTCAGGAAGGGCCAGTGCTCAGCAGCACACGGGGCCTGGTCACTGCCACATCACAGCCGGGCTTGCAGCCAGCCTCAGCGGTGGCCGGGTGGGAGGCAGAGCAGCTGTCCCACACCTGGGTTTGCTGCGGGGCTGTGAAGGGTGCCTGGAGCAGCAGCTGTCTTGCCGGGGCTGGAAACCCCGCGGAGGGAGGTCGGAGCTTGTCCCCTCTCCTTGGCTGTAGGGTCTGACACTCGCTCTGCTTCCCCTCCCTGCAGGGTAGCTGAAAAGGAGCCCATCAACAAAATGTCACTCCACAACTTGGCCACAGTCTTTGGGCCGACATTGCTGAGACCTTCGGAGGGAGAGAGCAAAGGACACCTCACCCTGGCCTCTGACATCTGGTCGCATGACGTGATGGCCCAGGTACGGCTGTGCGGGGGGCTGGCCGTGCCGGGACGCTGCCCTGCCCTGGCTGCTTGCTGCGGTCCCGGGGCGAGGAGGGCAGCAAAGCCCAGAGAGCTGCAGGATGACCCTGGTGCCGCTGCAGGCTGGGCTGACACTGAGCTCCCTGCAGGGCACTGCTGGAAAAAATGGGGTGCGGAGACAAAGCGGCACCTGGCAGCTCTGGCCCTTTCCAAACACCCTCCGTTTGCCTCCCGCAGGTCCAGGTCCTCCTCTACTACCTGCAGCACCCTCCCATCTCCTTCACCGAGCTCAAGCGCAACACACTTTATTTCTCCACGGACGTGTAGCTCGCAGCGGGGAGGCCCCAGCTGCGAACACTGCCAGCCTCCCTGCTGGGGGCCACGCACCGGCTCGCAGCCCCCAGGGAGGGCCGCCCGCGCCCGGACGGTGCCGCCTGCAGCTCCTCTATGGCCGCGTCCCGGTGGCCCGGTCTCGCCCCAGGCGCTGAGCCCCTCTGTAAAGTAGTCGTGTCTTATGTCCCTTCTTGTGTTCAGGAATTGTTTTTATGTATATTTGTTCAACGGAAGAGGCAGTGGCTGACAAGGGCTGTGGACGCGGGCTTGCCTCTCGGCTAGTTTTCTCCTGGACTCTTTCCTGCCCTCTGCGTCCTCACGTCTCGCCCAGCTCGAAGACTGCAGCATCCTGCGAGTGCCTGTTTCTCTGCCCAGCTCGCCTGCATGTGCAGCCCCGCTCGCTTCGGAGGCCACCGGCTCAAAGGCTTCCCGGTGACAGTGACAATCAGCTCCCTTTTGTGGCTTGCTGCCTGCGCCAGCGTTGGACCCCGCGCCCGGAGCAAACCCACGACGCGCGAGCACGGGAGCAGGGCGCTGCACCCTCCTCGCCGCGGCTCCTCCGGGTGCTTCCAGGCCAGTTCCTCTCCACCCTCGCGTGCGCTTTGCCTGTGTGTGTAGCATGGTGGTCGCCTCCCCTCGCCGTCCCTCGTCTGCCCAGCAGCGCTCTGGGGTAACCTGCGGTTCCGAGGCTGGAGCGAGAGGTGCTGTGTCGGGCCTGGAGCACGGCAGCCCAGAGGGAAGCCAACAGGGCCATGGCTGCTCCTTCTAGCCATGGGCTGAGCCTGTGTTCTGGCCTATGACCACAGGGGCATGAAGGTCAAAAATGTCTCCAACAAGCCCTAGTGAGGAAGGGAACAGGGTTCAGGCCTTGTTCTTGCCAAGCAGGAGGATCTGTCCCTGCCATCCCCATGTGTCTGTATCTCTGCCTTAGCTGTGCAGTTCGCCCCTCTCCAGCCAAGCACTGGCAGGACCGACTCCTGGCCACGACCTGCTGCAGCCTCTTGCCGCAACCCAGCAGAGCAGCCTGACACGGCTGCTAGGAAGGGAGTGTTTCCTTGGCTGTTCCCTGCTGCCCGTAGCACCAGGCAAACGGAAACACCCGGCTGTGCCGCGGTGCTGGCTGCGCTGCCGGAGGAAGGAGCTGTTTGTGCTGCACCTGGCCAGCGAACCAGGCTGAGCACCCGCTCAGGAGGCCCGCGGGAGCGAAAGCCTTCGGAGGCTCCGCTCGGCTTGGCCCGCAGTCCTGGAGGCAGGAGTGGTTCTGCTGCTGCTCCTCCACTTGAGCTCCATTTGAGCCACCAGTGCCAGCTCTGGACGCAGAGGCCGATGGCTGGAGCTGCCATCCGTGTCCCAGCGCAGGCAGCTTGTGTGTGCTGCTCCCCAGCTCCGCTCCGGCCGCCCGCCCAGCTTCCACTCTGTCCCCTCTGCCGCGCTTTCAGGTGGGTGCTGGTACCTGTTGGGACACAAATCCTTTCGCTCTGTGAGCCGAGTCCGTGTTCTCGTGGGAGACGCCTCTTCCGCCCTCGCGTTGGCCCTGCGCTCTCCTGTGCCAAATGCAGGTGGACCAGAAGTGACGGAGCGTGTCCGTGCGTGCAGCGGCGTTGCCTTTCCCCATCCACTACCAGGCTGGTCCAGGCGGAGCCCACCCACATTCCAGTGATGCCCCAGGGATGTCCCAAGCCCCCCACCTGGGGAAGGAGGCCCCTGCCAGCCCCGCACCAGCAACGCAACCAAAGGAGGGGAGGCCTTTTGGTCCCCTTCTAAAGGGCTCACACTCCAGACCCTGCTCCTCTGAACCAGCAGCTAAACAGAAGGGAAACAGCACTGCAGAAAACACCCGGGCATCTTTCTTGGCCCTGGACCTGGTAAGGAGGCTGCGTTTTAGATCTGACTGCACAAGGGATCCCTGTGTGCGTCTGACTTGTTACACGTATCCAAGTCTCTGTCCGTGATAGTGTCACTCCAGATGGAGACTCTCTACAGCCAATTCCCCCCCGCGTGGCAGCGGCTGCAGGTCGGGTCTGCACAGCCCTGGCACCACAGGCTGTGGCTGTCCCTGTGACTGGCTTGTGTTTGTCCCTACAGAAAGGAAAGGAGCGGGGGGATGGACTTTTGCAGCTACAGGTAGAATAGAACTGTTTATTAATATTTGACTTTTAAAAGTTGTTAAGGATATATTTTTGTTTGTGTTCTGTTTCAATTTCTGTAGATTATAAACTTTAAATGGCTGTAAACCATGTGAGGAAAAAAAAATGTTAATAAAAATGCAAAGCCCCAACATTTGCACAAAAGAGCCCTGTGGTGTTGCTGTCTGCACTACCCGATCACTGTGGCATTGAGCGTCTCCCCCAACATAGAAATCTTGTTGTTTTGAGCCAATGATACAAGCACAGGCATTATGCCAGGAAATCTTTTAAGACAGACCTTATGGTTTGGGCTACATCCTTGCATTTCGGTACATTCTGGAGGGAAAACCTGGACTGTCTGGAGCCAGCCTGTTTAATTATCCCAGAATTACTCAAATTCAGCTGACTCGCACAGCTTCTAGCCTGAGGCTACTGGACAGGCGCAGCAAAGGAGAGCCAGTGAGCTGGGAACCTCCTCACGTGGTGCTGCCATGTGGCATGGGGACAGTCTGCGTCCGTGCTCGCCGCCCGCCCAGCCCGGTGCTCCTCCAGGTAAGCAAGTGCTGTCACTGTTCCGGGATGTCAAACCATGGATGTGCCCATGGGATGTGGTGGTGGGGGACCGCCCATTAGGGGAGGACATAAAACCTGAAATCCCTGTGCTTCTCCAACACAGGGATGGGTGTCTGCCCTTGCAGAGTGACTTAAGGAGGACTAAAACCCTTCTAAGCTATTCTGTTTAAAAGTTGTCCTCTGAGGCCTGGCAAGAGAGCTTTTCTCATTTGGTTATAAGAGCAAGATAGGTGCAAATTGAAGAGGGAGCAGTTTCCTGACCTCACAAACAGGTGCTTTGACTTCAGTACCAATGTTTTGCAGAAACACAGCAGAAATTACTCTTTAAAAAAAAAGAACATCGTGGGAAACAGTTTGTGTGCTAAGTGAATGCCTTGCTCCCGAGACCAACATTCTTATCCTTACGGCTCTGCTTTCTAGTCTAGCCATCAAGCTGTTGGAACTAACGGCATGAGCCTACAGCAGTTAAAGCAGTAGCAAGATTATTTGTTCTCCCACAGCGAGGTTAAACCAGGCTAGCCAAGTGGCTACAGAGAATTATATCTCTGCAACTGCCTCTTTTTTTCCCCCTTAAATTGTTTTGTTCATCTGCCAGTAACCACACAGTTCCAAAGCTAAAGATTCTTTTTAGCTTTTCCCTTTAAAACATGGTAAAGAAATCTGGCTCTCATCTCTGTACTTGAAATAAGACAAGTTGTACAGATGGTGGTTTGTCTTCAGCTGGTATTTTAAGAAAAGCCTGGAACAAAGTATTTCTCCACAGGATCTTACTTCTCCCCAACAGAGTAGCAAGCTGCAAACTGATTAACTACTAAACACTTTCAGCATGTTCAAATATACATTAACCTAAACCACAGCATTTCTTTACAAAGATTGTCCTACTGCCTCTTTCGATGCTCGCAACAGATTTAATTAAAATCAGACCCAAAGGATCTAGAGAACTCAGAGCCCAGGCTTGATTCCTGGAAACTGACAGTCAGCTGATCCATCCTGGTGATCCTGCTCCCTGCGTCTGCTTGCTCCATCCTCACATACTCTTGCAATTCTGCCTGGAGCAGCACGCCAAGGCTCGCAGCCAGATTATTGTTAGTCATTCAGGAAAGCAGCCAGCACCCTCCAGCTTGCGCTGACCAGGGCTCCAGAGGCAGTGGAAAGGGCCGCCTGATGATTCCTCTGCTGTGACGCAGGCTCTCGCCAGCAACGCTGGAACAGAAGGGAAACTTGTCCCCGCAGGATCCCGCTGTTACCGTAGGTAGTAATCGATTGCTGCGGAGAACGCGGCAAATCCACCACAGCCAATGACCCCTGCCTTCAAACCAGCTGCAATGCAAAAGAGAGTGGAAAGAATGAGGAAAAAAAACAGGGGAGAGATTTTTCCTCATGGTAACTAGCTTACACTGCTGGCTTGAAGAGCTTGCAGCCGCAGGAACCTCTCAGTGCTCTAGCAGGGACAGCTGGCACTGCCACTGCTCAGCCAAGGGGGACCTGGCAACGCTGGATCTGCATTCCCAGGGCTGGACTAGCTTGACACATGGACTGGCCTCTGTGTTGCCAAGTCTCCCCCTATGGGCTAGAAAACCCCAGTGGTCGTGGCCCATTTCAGTGCACCCTGGTCTGAGCACTGTGGGCATCTCTGTTGTTGGAGAATAGACGGATAGGAAGAGCAGCTGCTGCTTTGAAAGCTCTAGGAGGAATAGGTCCAGGATAGCCCCAGTGTAACAAGCTCCAAAAGGGTGGCTTTCAAGAGCACTTTCTTTTATTTTGTGCTCTTTGGACAGCTTGCTTTTTGAAGGAGAGGTGAGAGAATTTTGATTTTTCTGATGAGCAGCGCAGGCTTCTGCCTACCTGTGGATTCTCTGCAGCTGTCATTACCCACAGTGCTTTCCAGCAAGGTGGCTGATGGACAAAAACCCTGGCTCTCCTGCTACCGTCAGGTAGAATTGCCTGTTTGATTTGATTTCATCAGGAAAGGTAGGCTTTCATTTTACACACTGTTCAAACTAACAGAGTTCCTACCACTGAAATCCTATATATAAAGTAGAGCTCTGTTAACACAAAAGCTGTAACTTCAGTGAGTTGAGCACTGTGTATTTTTGGCTCCCTCCCCATGACACCATAGAAAAGTGTGGATAGCAAAGAGCATTTTCTGATTTACTTTCAAGTCACTTCTGTTGATTTTTCTCATATCTCGCTGTCCTGTACGACCAGCCTTCCCTGCCCACACAAATCTTCCAAGCTGACAGGAAAGCGAAGGAGACAGCAGTCCTGCCAGTTTGGAGTACTGGTTCACATTGACATTATCATAACCCCATGCAAAAAGATTTTTGCGTTGCATTAAAAGCACTGCTTGCTACTTAATCAAATTATGGACTCCTGACAGAAACAGCTCCTAGAAAGAGCTACCAACCTCTGAAGCCGATCGCTCCTCCCGTGATGCAGCCGCTTATAACGCTGTTCTTCCAGTCTGACTTTCCACGATACTGTGGAATTAAAAATCAGAGTCAAAAAAGCAATATGGAATGAACACCCGGTATCTGTGCTAATGCCAACAGATATTAAATGTCTTTCCAGTTCCTCCTCAGCTGAAGATGTTTTTCCTTTTGTTCTCAGCAGATGGCCCCCCTGCACTTGGAAATGTAAGAGTTTTGGGGATGGGAGGAGGGAAGGAACGGGTCACTGGCAGAGGTGTCATAGCCGTGTGGTGCAATGCAGTGCAATGGCAAAGATTCTCAGGAGATCTGATACAGCCCCAGAATACAGCCCTGTGCAGAGGTGCCAGCTCAGAGATTTTTAAAGGCTCTATAACCACGTGAGTGCAACAGTGAGCCTGTCCACACAGCCTGTTTCTCAGCACAAGCACGAGCTGCTGCACCCTGCTGACAAAGATAAACTATTTCAATAGTCAGAACATACTATTTTTTAACTGGTGCAGAGACCTCTATGTACTGCTTCACTGTGCAAGAGAAGAACATTTTTCTTCTGGAGGAGCTAAGAAATAATTGCATCTTTCAATCAAAAGGCAGCACTAAAATTTAAAACAGGCCAATTTTCCTATTTAAGTAAATGTCTGAGAGTGTTTCCAGTGAGCTGCGCAAGGTCATTTTTTTGCTTCAGGGGCAGGATGAGAAAAGGCCTGTTACTTAAGAAGTTCCATCAAAGGATCTCCTTCTGCATCTGGAATTTTTATGGGTTCAAATTACCAGGTTGCAAGTCACAGATTGATGTTTCATAGTAACAAGCAATTGCAGCTAGAGTTTCAACAGTAATGCTTATATTTGCCAACGCATTTAGGCCTTGAACTGACAAGCACTTCATTATCGCGTGGACCTGAAGCAAGCGGCACTTCTGTTATTCCACCACAGAGAACAGCGGTTCTGAAGTCACACATCAAAGTACAGAAGCTTTCTTGGCCAAGAAGCAGAACAAATTTTAGCCTACTAATGTCTGTGCCACTCTCCTTGCAAAAGGAAATACTTATTTACTATTTATTTAGATCTATGTGCAAGAAAACACTTTATAATGCCAAGGAAATTGTTACTCACCGACTCCACAAGGCATTCGGTGCAGGAGAACATGGCGCCCACGATGGCAAAGTTCTTGGCGTAGGACATGCCCCGCTGCCCCATGTCCTTGAGGACCTCCTTGGCCGTTGGGGTGCGATAGGGATCCTTGGGATCAAACCCCACGTTGGTGTCGATGCCGGCCGTGAACACGCCGAACGCGCCACCCAGGACGAAGCCTGCCAAGACGAGAGGTTAAAACGAGCTTCCATGGGCAAGTTTGTTCCCTGGCAGGGGGGGAATCAGGATAGCAGAGGCCCGATCTCCCTCATGGGACCTGGGGCTGGGGAAAGGTGGTGACGCCTCTTTGCTCCCAGGGCAGCGAAGGGCCATGGGCCCTGGCACGGGGGGTCACAGGCCCCGCGCTGCGGCCTCCCCCCGTCCCTCGCGCACCTCCCACGCAGGCCAGCGCCGCCTTGAAGGCGCAGCTCTCCATGACCCGCTCCACCATCTTCTGCTCCTCGCTCTTGGGCGGGCTGGGGATGCCGCCCAGGGCGGCGGG